TTAATTTCTACAATTTTCACTTGTTTCTCGTATTGTTCCTTTAAACCCAACATTTACTACTGTATAAGATAATTGGTTGTATAATAGTATAATTAAACTTTCTCGTTAACTTGATAGGTACTTTATGATTACAAATAAATTTTGATGTTTTTTTCTACATTAATCACCAATTTGTATTGTACAAGTAACATTTTTATTTATTTCTCCAATTTAACTTTCGACGCATAATCATCTTATTTGTTACAAAAATTGCAAATGCATATACTCTATTTTATTTATGTTCAAGTGAAAATCTTTAGATTTCAAAGCATACCTCCAAAGTTCAAGTTTAGAGTTAGCTTCTTTTGATTCCTCGATTGCAAAGAATACATACTTTATAATAATTTTTTGTATATCACTCACAAACACATCTAAAACTAGGTTAAACAAGAATGCAAAAAGCCTTGATGTAAATCTATCCTTACAGAAAAGTCCTTCAATACGTCTCTATGAGTTCTCATACTTGTAGTTACTCCATCAAACATGTGTTGTATAGCCTAAATATATGTAACACGTCATCATTATTTTTAATATTTTATTATTTAAAAATTAATATTTACAAAAAAATCCTTAAAAAATTTATATTATTTTAAAAATTTAATAATTAGTCCATCTTGTTCAACCTCCCTTCTTATCATCATTCTCTCTCCTCTTTCACCATCTCATGAATCCCTATTTTCTTCATGCTCCAAACGAGGCGGTCGGCTTCCTTAGCCATAAACATCAATGACGATGTTATAGGTGGCAAAATCAAGGGGGCATTTGGCTTCATTCATCTTAAAGAATAGAGAAAGAGCTTCAATGAACTTTTGATTGTCAACATAGATGACAAGAAGTGTGGAGTAGCTGACAATATCAGGGTGAATGCAATTCCCTCATCTCCCGCAGAAGAAGGCAAGCCTCATAGAAGAGCTTAGCTTTATCGAAGACATTGATCATAAACTTATAGGCAATAAGATCATGAGTGATAGAGGAGGCTTGCAATCTGGTGAACATGGAAATGGCCTTGGAATAATTGCACAACTTGCAGGCAAGGTCAATCAAATTACTATATGTCAAGGTTGCCTGAAACATTGTCTTGCTCCATCTACTAGAGCCAAAAGAAAGAATAAAACAAGTCATGTTTGCCAAAAGAAGTGGTGACGGTGGAAGTAAGTGTACCTATCAGGGGAAAGACTCTCTTGGTGCATTTATTAATTATGAGTCATGTCTGTTAGAAAAACATACTCATCACACATATAGTAGTCGTGTCAATACAAGTGCTTCAGCAACCTTTGATTTGGTTCCCTCTAATAGTTAGTTCAACTTTAGGCTATTCTTAATTTGTTATATTCATTAATGATTTTTCTTGTTTTACTTGATTATTCTTAATGAAAAAATTTTCTAATGTTTTTCCTATATTTCAAGGTTTCTTGTCTAAAATTCAAAATTATTTTGGTTCTATTAAAATACTGTGCAATGATAATGCTCGCATATATATATCTTTCCAGTTTCAATCCTTTTTAATTTCGCAAGACATTTTTCATTGAACATCTTGCACTGATACACCACAACAAACATTCTTGATATTCCTCCTATTGACCCTGTTCCTGTTATTACTTTTGTTCCACCTTTTCTCCTTACTTACCAACGATGGTCTCAGATTTTGACATTGCTTACTACTCTTGATCCTCTAGCCTCATCCCCTATTCCAACTATCCTTCCACCTACATCACCAGAACTTCCCATTGTGTTATGCAAAGGTATTCGGTCCATAGTAGTCAATCCCAGATAGCGGCGCGGAGTGGCTAACTTCAAAAATGCTATAGGCAGGATAATGGGATGACCGTTATTTTAGGCTCTTTAAATATACTTAAGTTAAGCTACACATATATATGGTGAGAAGGAAATAAAATAACCGGGAAGGAAAATAGAGCAAGTTCGCCAAGTTCGCCAGTGTACGAGAATCAAAATAGAGAAGGAAAATAGAAAAAAGAGAATGTTTAGTCACCGCAAAATGTGCAGGTTTGTTGGAAGTTAGACAGAGGTGTAGATGACCGAAAAATGTTTGGATGACATCGGAAGTTTCACTAGACTTGAAAAAGACGACAGAAAATAGCCTGGGTCATGTCAAAGGCTTCATTGAAGATGAAGAACATGATCGAAGAATGAAAGAGGAAAGAAGACATTGGTAGCAGTGGAATCGTAGAGAACAAAGATGAAAAAACAGAATGAAGGAGAACCAAGAAATGAGAATGAGAACTAAGAGGGGGTGAAATCCCAAGATTGGGCATCTTAAAAGTCACCAACGTTCAGAAATAGAGGGGCAAATCTAGAATTTTAGTGAGAATGAAATAGTGGCCATGATGGCCATGATTTCCCCTGTTTTTTGCTGCATTTCGCAGCGCAACGACCACTCCTTTGAAACACGACGCAACTCTATAGCAGTGCCCTGCCATTCTACTCTGCTACGATAACAGTTGCTATGGCTGCTATTGACTACTATGTTTTGGTCTTCTCGAAATCCTAATCCTCTCAATGCGTCCTTTTCATTATGACTATTTATCTCCTTTGTTTTTTTCCTTTGTCTATGGATTCTGTGTCTATTCTTCAGTCCATAGGTGAAGTTATTGCTGATCCCTATTGGTGCTACCCATGTTGGATGAAATGGCACTCTACATTCTACTAGCACTTGGGACCTTGTTTTTATACCTCCTAATAAGACTATGATTGGTTGTTTTGGGTTAATACCATGAAAATTGGACTTGATAATAATATTGATTGTTTCAAAGCTCACTTGGTAGCTAAAGGATATACACAGATTTTTTGTCAAGATTACAAGGACACTTTTTTCCCATAGCCAAAACCACTTATGTTCGTCTTCCTTGACCTTGTTGCTCATCATCGTTGGCCTCTTCACCAACTAGATATTAAAAATGTTTGCATGGTGAATTACAGAAAAATGTTTAAATGGACTAGCCTCCAAGATTTACTATTTCTTATGACTCTCACCGTGTTTGTCGCCTTCCTCATTCTCTTTATGGCTTGAAGCAATATCCTTGTGCTTGGTTTGGGCAATTTAGCTCTGCCTTAATACCATTTGGCAAGACTAGATGTGAGGCTAACCACTATGTTTTCTCCATTCACTCTCCATCTGCACAATGTATTATCTTCTTGTCTATGTTGACAACATCGTTAGTACTAGCGATGACATAGAAATCATTCAATGACTCAGTTCATTTTTTTAGTTAATTTCAAATGAAAGAATTAGGTCCCCTTAAAGTTGTCCAATCCTCCTCTGGCATTGCCATTTACAACAGAAATATGCTTTGGACATTCTTACTATGACTGGTAAGCTTGATAGTCATCCATGTGATACTCTTATGGATCCCAATGTTAAACTTCTTCCGAGTCAAGGAGAGCCATTGAAAGACCCAGGAAGATATCGATGTCTCGTGGGTAGACTTAACTACCTCACAATCAGCAGACTAGACATCACATTGCAGTCAATGTGGTAAGCCAGTTTCTAAATGTTCCTTGTAATATCCATTGGGATATTGTGATACGGATTCTTTGGTACATTAAAAATGCACCTGGATGAGGGCTATCACATGAAAATAAAGGTAATGCCAATATCATTTGTTACTCTTATGCTGATTGGGCAAGATCAATATCAAACAGAAGATTCTACTTCTTGATATTGTGTTTTCATTGGAGGAAACTTTATTTCGTAGAGGAGCAAAAGGCAAAACATAATTGCTAGATCCAATGCAGAAGCTAAGTATCGTGCTATGGAAGCAACCATATGTGAGCTTACATGGCTTAGGCATCTACTTCAACAAATAAATTTGGGAGACATACAAGAGGCAAAACTTAGTTGTGACAATCAAGCTGAACTTCTCATTGTATCAAATCCTATCTTCCATGAATGAACCAAACACAGAGATAGATTGTGACTTTGTAAGAGAGAAGGTGCTTTTTGGCAAAATAACAACTGATTTTGCCCACTCTAATGATTAGTTGGTTGACATGTTCACTAAATCCCTTAGAGGCTCTCGTGTTGACTACATTTGTAGCAAGCTTGCCTCATTTGACTTATTTGCTCAAGCTTGAAGGGGAGTATTAGAAAATAATCATCACAAAATACGCGATATGATCAGATATCCCGTTATATGTAACTGTAAATTTGGGATTTGTTTTTATTGTTTTATATTTATTATTGATTCTATTGTACCCTCTATAATTATAAATATGATTCATGTGTGATCATATGACACAACATTTATACATTTTCTCTCTATAATATTGATACACAAAAAGTCATGTAATATAAATATTAGCATCATGTGTTTATCCATCAATATATCATCATTTTGAAGCTCACCTTAATCAGTGTTTTGTAACGATCAAATTTAGTGTGAAAAAAGTAGATTATTTCAATAATCGTTTATATAATCAATTATTGTGATAACTAATTCTATGAAATAAGTTTTATGTTTGGATATGTTAGGTGAAAAATGAATAAAATAATCTATCATGGGATTGCATGAAATAATTACTTTTTCTAGGTTGAGATTATAAAAAAAGGAAATAGTTATGTATGATAGTAAGATTTGTATTTAAAATAATTAATTATTAAGGATAAATGGGAAAATAAAAGTTAATTAGAAAATACTCTGGTAGCTTTTAATCTTAAGCTCCAAAATTTTGCTTATCTTATATAAGTTATTTCCTTTGTAAAAAAATTAATCTAAGATTATAAGCTGTTTTATCAAAATGATCCAAACACAAATGAAACGTATTTTTTTAAGCTTTTCTCAAATAATCTTCCAAAATAATCACATCCAAATACACTTAGAATATCTAAATGGCATAGGCAAATAATCAAGCAAAGCAAAAGACAAACTCAAACAAAGTAGAACTTAAATAAAAAAGATCATTACGAAATCAGATAAACAAAATAGACTATCAATTAAAACAACCTCAAATCGTGGCTAACAACAAGCACAGTTAATTCCTTTTTCAGGTGCTTTAGAAGCTTCACAACATCTGCACGTGCTTTCCAATCTGACCAATGGGAAAGTATTAGGTGCAGCATTACAAAAATATAGTATAGTTCATTAAGAAAAAGTCATATATTTCTTGAAGGAATTAAGATTCACATCCTTCAAATTAAAAGAACTAAAAACATGTCCACAAGCCATAGCTCAAGTGGCTTGATCCTGTGATCAAATTCCACCAATGTCAATTTGCCCCTATACTACGCTACCCTTTTTTAAGGGATTAGAAATTAATAACAGAGGAGGGCTTTATCGAAATAGAAGAAAAGATCACACTCAATGAGAAGTTACAAAATAGAATGATCACTCCCTCTCCCAGAGCGAGATGCTTCTCCATATATTCACTCTCTGTCTAAACCAAAGTGGCCACCAACAAAATAACTCCCATACCCACTCATACTCTTACTCTCCTTCATGTGGAATGCCCCTTTTGTGCCTTAAGTACACTTCCCATTCTGTGGGTTTCTTTTGGACCATGTCCAGAATCTGATCCACTTGGGCCTCCTCCTCCTCATATAATTTAGGTCCATTTCTGTCACTTTCGCCTCCACTCCTCACACTACCTCTTAAATCTCTTTTATGGAACTGGTTAAAGAGATACTGGTAAATGACTTCAGCTATAAAAGGAAAGGGTCTTGCTAACCAGTCCTTAAAGATACCGGTTAAGGGACATTAAATACACCCTATTAAATGCTTTTAATTACATAAATCACAGGTTAAATGAATTCTGCATTTTCAAATAATAAAAATGCTTCCTTTCCCAATAAAAATCATCTACTGTTGTTTCCTTAACCAATGTCCACAGTATTAGCCAAAAATAAAAGAAAAAGCATAAAGTCATGGTCTTCAATAAAAATTATAGCACAATACCAAATTCCTATTGTGCCCCTTATATTTCGCACATGATCTAGCATAGGACTGAAAACACATTATGAATGTGATTATATGTTATCTGATCCAAAACACTGAAGTAATCTTCTATTGAATTTTGATCACAACCCCTAAAATTTAGGGATCAGTTTAATCTTTCTTGTTTTTTTGTTTTATTAATTGTACTCTAATAATTTTATTCTGTTTACTGAATTTGTTCAGTAAACTTTAACATAAGGCACTCGGAAGGCTGTTTCCTAAAATCCCTCTAATCTGTTATATGTTTCCTATATTAAGGAAATTAAATTTAAGAATTAATGGGAATAAATGGCTGGCCTGTTGTCATCTCATGCACATATATTCATCTGTGTTGTTTAATAATTTTGAAAAAGAAAAACTTTGGAAAGCAACAAGATAGGGCCAACAAGCAAATGCTAGACCAAAATCACTGTGGCCCCAAGGGATTGGAGGGTCTATTCCAAAAGAGGGAAGGGGAAGTGTAGCAGCTAGTCAGTGTAGCAGGCAGTTAAGCAAATTGAGGAGTTAGTTACTAGGAAATGAATCAATGATAAAGGGGTGCATATGAAAGGGGCAGGAGAGAAGGGGGCAATTATGAGTATTTCGGTACCCAGCTTGGGACCAACAACTTTGGGGGCTTAAGGCATTTTTGCTCAAAGCTGCTGAAAGCTATATTACTCATGCTGCATCTTTAATCCCTGTGCCATTATTTTGTGTTTTTCTGGTTTGGTGACCTATTAATTGGTATGGCCTGCCAACAATGGTGAATGCAATGCAACCATGGGTAGAGGCTTTTGGAGGATCAGGTTTTTGCCGTAAATGTAAACATCGCAGTATTAGATGATAAGGTGGTTTAGATTGAATCACAACTGGAGAAGTCAGTACTCTTGGTGGCATCTATGCAGGAAGCAATGGACAAGGACCGAAAGAAAAATGCTGCATTCTGCCTCAATGGGAAGGGAAGAAATCAGCAACCTCATTGAGTGCAATAGCATACAGCAAAATAGAAGCAAGAAGTCAAAGTTAGCAATTGTGTACCCAGTCCAGCAAGAGGTTCATCCAATATCAATAGATCAGGGATTTGCACCTGAAAATACATTTCGAAAAACAATTAAACCAATTGATCCTTGGTTGATTGACAGCTAAAAGTTAAGTGAGATTGCAACAACTACTCAAGAGCCACTTAGATGAAGGCATGAAGCAATAACAAGCAGGCAATTGAAAAAAAAAAAAATCTTACTAATTGTATTGCTAAGGCAAGACGACGTTTGTAACCCCCACTGAGAGAGTGAGGATTTTTATCTAGCGATATCCCACTTAATCCAACCTATAATAATGAATAACAAAGAGCAACACACAAGAAACACAAATATATTAAGAGAAGAAAATCTTAAAAGAATATGATGAGTATACTAAATAAGCATACAAATCACAATGAAAATGTTAGAACTGGTTTGGTGAGTAAAGAGAGAGATTTAATTGTATCACTGAGAATGAACAAGAACACAGTTCTATACCCAATGTAGGTGCAGACTTTTATCATACAAAGCTAGAAATATTCGTTAGATCCTGGCTACTTTGAAAGCACCAATGGTTATGACTTAAGCACATGAGGAGAGCACAACCCAAAAAACTAGTGCATTAGGTGGCAGAGTCCCACGACTTAAGTGTCACATTGAGTTTCTTATTCTACTCAATGTGATATACAGAAGTTATATCAATAGTTAAAGAAGACATATACAGAGGCATAACTACCCAGTTAATTGCCCTCTGTAGCCCTAGAGCAAGGCTCTCCCTCTGTTGGTGATTACCCTTTTGCCTTGGCCACCCAAAAGTGACTTCATCAAGCACATTATCAGCCACAAAATACCTAGGTTGCAACATAAATGTGTAGAACTTTAGAAATGACAGTCCAATAAAAATGAAAAAAGATCAGACAAAATATACAAATGGATAATGGAAACAGTTAGACAATTCAAGAACATACCACTCTGACTAAGGAATCCAAAAAGGTTTGACTTAGTATCATGACCCATATAAGAGGTATTTAAACAGTAAATTTCCATTAATATTTTGATAATAAGAACAAAAAAATTATAATTCAAAGTTCAAAATATTTCAATTAGAAAAAAGAAATTAATGACGGATGAAAGCTATCTCTAATCGTAGGCAATTGCTGCATTAACAAGTGTTTGAAAACAGATCTTCATAAATATCTCATTTTAATGATTTAATACATATTTCTACCTCAACAAAAGTATATATTATACTAGAAAAATAAAAAGAAGATGGTGGGCATGTAAGTCTGCAATGATGCTGCCTTTGTGACCTAGGTCATGGGTTCTAATCACAGAAAAATCTTCTGTCCAGAGAGCAACTTAGCATAAATCTGACTTTCCCAAGTCCCACAATGGTTGGAGTCCTGACCATTGAGCAACCCATTTAAAATGGCAAAATGAGAGTGGGACATATGGAGCGTAAGAAATTCTCCATAATAGACTACAGAAGGACAGAGTACAAAGACAAAGAAGAAAATACATAAATGAAAGGTTCTACAATCCCTCTACAAATTTGACAAAGAAATTTACATGAGAAAATCCAAGGGCTAAGCTGTATTGCTTCTTGTTTCCATGTCTATTCTTGTTGGGACAGCCACATGCAATTGTAGGGATCCCAATAGTCAAACAATATAGTTGATGTATAGGCCAAGAGATAAGAACTGGATCAATTAAAAAAATCTTATCCTAATTGACAAGAATCTGAACAGAACTACGCCACAAAAGTGCCCCTGCAGTTGGAGAGTCCAAGTCATTATTATCCCCAACCAAAATCCCATACCTCTAATGAGAGACTTGAGTCCCATACCTTGCAATTGGATCCTAAGCCTTAACATCCTACCTTGCTCCACAGCCCCAACATCCATGTGGGCTGGATTCACACTAGCCCTTTGACTAGTCCTAGACAACCACAATGCAAGCATCACTACCCATGTCGCTCATTTGCAGCTAAGAGACATGGTGAAAAGCTCAGATACCAGTTGATAAGAACTGGATCAGAAAACATAAAAATGAAGTATTATTGAGGAAACACTAATTCCTAATTATGTACCACTGGTAACAAACTAGGCTAGGCAAGAACAGCAAGCATGAAGAATACCCATGGACAATTAAAGAGTTAAAGGCTCTCTCCTAATCTCTCATATTACAAAATGAGATGCTGTTCCTACCATACAAGTGAATATTTGATTCCCAACCCACCCAACTACTGAATAAACTAACTAATCGGTTAGTTAGAATTATACTACAAACAGTTACAACTAAGTCAGGAATCATAATCCCCAGCATCTCTCCTAGTTATCCTCATAAAAACCCTTTTAATTGGAGGGCATTGCCTAGCATCAAGATTTACACCATAAGAACAAAAACTAACACAAGTCCTAGTGTAACAAATCTCTTAAGGCTTAACACATCAGTTAGTTCATATTTGTACCTCTCAGGAAACTGGAAGACAATACCAACCCTTTCAGGCACCAATGGCTCTGGCGATTGACAAAGATGTCCATCATTCCCATATTTTTGGATGTAAATAGATCCAGAGGTTGGTTTGTTTATTCCTGCAAGAAGCTAACCAAAGGGAAGGGATGCCTTTCAAGGAGAGATGATGATTATCCAAATACAAACTTTACATTCATGAATGTTTAAGGAACCAAATTCATTATACTAAGAGGAAAAGACTAAAAAAACACCTGCAAGAGAGTTGTTTTGCCACTTCCACTCTGTCCGAAAATTAGACCAAAACTGTGGCAATCGAAAATATTACATATTAAAAAAAAAAGAACTAGGAATGGAAAATATATATTTGGGAAAATTCATATTCGGGATAAACATCTCAACCACATACATATTGAAGTTAATGTGATGAAATAAAGACACCTTTTCTCGGGAAGTGAAAAACTAACTGAATTCAGAAGTCTGAGCTGAGTCCCTGGGGGTTGATAGCTAACATCTCTAACCTTAAGCAAAAATATTAGAATAATTTTAGTACATACACTCCTCCAATTTCCACAATAACGTCCATAGTCCCTATTTATGCATGCTAAAGTAGGTAAATACGAGACCTCTTCAATCAGCACGCTAAATGCATTACAGTGAAAGAAAAGCAAAATCAAAATCAACGGAAGCTTGAACATAAGACCAGTTCTATTTCTAATTGTGGAGATGGTTAATGGTAAAGTAAAAGCAATACTTCGAAAGAGGAGTAATCACAGTTGATTCTGAGAAGCTGAGTCTTTGGGAAGTTGAACCTGCAATGACGAATGGGGGCGAGGGGAAACGATGGTGGTTTGAGTTTGAGGAAGCGCAAGCCAAGCGGTGGGTTTAAAGAGGTAGCCATAGCTGGTTGCTTTTACTGCGAAGGAAAACAAGACTCGTACTGGGGATGGGATGGGTTCCATACTTCGTTCATACTAACTTCAAATGATTAAAATTGGTTTTAATAAAATTAATTTTGAATAATTAAATATAGATGAGATGTATTTAAATTAATTTAAGTTCCATATTTTTATTAAAATTTTGAAAATTAAGTTTGTAGTTTTAAAATAACCAGGAATGTAATAAATATAAATAATTACACGTAATTATAATTACAAAAGGAAATAAAAGACAAGCTAGCTTCTAAGGAAGTCCACACAAGAAGTCATTTCTCTCAAATGATGCTTGACGGAAACTTGCCAATATCTTTACATCAACAACCTTATATCATTTACAGGAAGCATATCTATGAAATATAAAATTATCAACACTAACCATTCCTAATATTTTCATGTAATTTGAGATACAAATCACACATTGACGTCCTTTATTCCACGTAAGTTTCAGCTCAATTAAAACTTTATCTCAAAGACTTGAATCTCACGTGCAACCAAAAACTTTAAGACATTAAATTATGAATTTTTTTCACTTATATATATTAATGTAAAACTCCTTTGCTCATACTTATACTTGTTACCTCAATAATGGAGAATATTCTCCTCATTGTTATTGCACCTAGTACACTTTGTGGAAGAGGCCAATTTTCTCTTCTAAGACCCTATCCAATTCCAATTTCTGTGAGGGAGCTAAAATGAGCCATTCATCAATCAGAGGAAGGTTGATTTAGCTGTGTATACAAACTGCTTTGCATATGGTTCCATATCAAAATATCTGGAAGCATCTCAAAATTATTAACATTGGTTTCAAAATTTTCTCTTTGTAATTCTACATTCAAGGGAGTATATAGTCTATATAGGTCCCAAGTTCTAACATTCCATAAATCTCTAATGCAAAGATGAATACGGACCATGGAAATTTTGTTGCATAGACAAATTGTATTTAGCCAACCAACGTGCAAAAAAGAACTAGCTCCATTGCCGAGGGAGACAAGGGGTTTCCTTGACCAAGTCCTCTTGAAGGCAAAAGACTAAGCTTTTTTTGTCCATTCCAAATTAAAGTAAGGGGTTGAAGACACAATTCATGATGAGATTAATAATATTAGTTGGGAAGCCAAACCCTCGTTCAATAGATTTGAGGAATCTCCAATCAAGTTCGTTTACTATGCTAGATTATCAACTAGAGAGCGGTTCCACGTAACATTGGAAAGTGATTTAAATTGCTCTTTTAAAAGATGTTATGCAAGTGTAAGAAACTTAGAGAATGATTCCACCTAACAACTACTTTCAAAAATATACTTTGAATAGCAATTTGTGGTGGAACTAACCTTTAAAGTATACTTTATTATTTGTCAAGTTCAACATCTTTCTAAAGTATATAACTGATAGCGGTTATTTTAATTGTTCTTTTAAATTTTAGAAAAATTTGAAAACATTTGTTTAATTATAAAAATTTGATACACTTGATAAAGTAAAAAATTTATCACAATGAATAATTAAATAAATTTAGAAACAATTCAATATCTCAAAACTCATACACTTGATAAACCAAATAATATATCATAATGAATAATTAAATTAATTAATGAACAATTTAATATCCCAAAATTCCAAAACAATACAAATAAAAGAGAAAATTTACAATAATTACATTTGGAGAAGCAAAATCAATAATGAATAAAATACAATATACTTGCAAATGTGAAATAAATACATTGTTCTTATATAAATATATTTTAAGAATTTATTGCACTTAGTTTGTCCTTCAAAAATTTATAATAAAAATATGCACATCACTTCCTCTGAACTTGTTCAATTATGTTATCATGAAAGGTTAAAATAGAAACTCTAAAAAATACCGAACACATAACAAATACACAAAATCAAGTTAAATGAAAAAATATGGTAGAATTTAATAAAACAAAATTATTAAATTCATGTTACAATCCAATATATACTTGCATCACAAGTTGTATATATGTGTCAACTTCATGAATTTCTAGCGAAGTGGATCCATATAATCCAAGTCTCATTATAGGTGAAGATGGAAATTAACACCAAAAAATGCATACGAATAGTGAATATCTTTAAATTAATTACAACCAAAAAATGATAACAAACAATATAAAGGGTCAAATATGGTAAAAGAATTCATTACAACTCACCTAATATGGTGTGGTACTAAAAGCAATTGATCTTGGTCTACATGATGCTTGAGCATTTTAGCTATATATTAATGTGGGGTGGAATTGAGCTTCTCACCCAACTCAATCGAAAATAAAAATGAGAACCTACTTGTCTTATCAATGTCATGCAAGTAGGCTTCACACAAATTTCATTGATAACAAATTAACAAACAAAATGCATTAGAAGAACCTTAAAATAAATAATTTTATTAGAACGAAATTATGCAAACAGTAGAGGCACTCAAACGTATAATCTTGATGAGTTTTCCTTCCCAACAGTGTCAATATACTTCTTTCTCTTATGCTCAACAGTCATAGGGATTTGTGCATCGTCAATAAGCTAATCACCTTTCATAACAAGCATTATGAGGTTGAAGCATGCAACTCTTTAGACCTATATAAACTTTGTAAGGATTGAATTAGAAATAAGTTCCCTTATTGGTTAGACTAGCAATGGATTCCTTAGTGTGACTTGTTTCTTTTCCAATCTCTTTACTCCCTAGTGTAGTGATGCAATATGAAAACGTTGTCTTTAGATTTAGGATTTATAAATAATGAATGATGCTACAATTACAAAGAAAGTTACATAAATACTAAACATGTGACAAATACATAAAATTAAGTTAATTAAAACAAAATTATTAAGTTAAAAAGATATAGATCCCTCGCGTTAATTGAGATAGTAAATTTTCCATGTTGGAAAGTATCCACGGTAAAGAGACATATAAAATATAATCAACACTATTTGTTTGCGTAAGACACTTTACAAAAAACAAAAACATAAATAAATTAAATAAAAAGATTATATATATTGTAATAACAACTATTTTAAAATGTTATTTGTAACAGTGACTCATTTAGTTTGATGGATATTTGTCCTACACAGACTTGAACTCCCCTAAGTGATAATGATATTAAGAAAATAAATCAAATAAACATAATAAACATGTTACAGTCCATGTACATGCATATATATTATTAATTGAATTATGCTTACATTTTAAATAAGTTATGCATATGTGTTATTTTCGTAATTTTTTAGGAAGTGGATCTATATAATATAAGGTCTCATAAGAGGTGTTGACAACAATTTACACTCAATTTTGTCTATGATAGTGAATACCTTTAAGTTAATTACAATCAAAAAGTGATTACAAACAATACAAGAGTCAAATATGGAAAAGAAAATCATTACATCTTAACTTATCCAACATTGTTTGGTGCTAAAAGCAAGTGATCTTGACTTACATGACACTTGAGCATTTCAACTATATGTTGATGTAAGGTAGGATTGAACCTTTCGTTAGCTTATACAAAGATATAAATGAGAACTTACTTGTGTAACACCTTAAATTTAATTTCAATAAATATGAAATTTCACAAATTTTTGAAATAGTAAAATTTTAATTTTCAATTCAAGTTTCATCAACCATTTCAAATAAAGAAAGGGGTTACAAATTATATCAAACAGTTGCTACAGGACTTATTCAAATACATCAGTTTTCCAAAATAATATTCTAAGTCCTATAGCAGTTTCATCTAACCCCTTCACTGAGTTCGGTGCTGATCATTTTGATTACCTGAAAAATGAATGTAAGAGTGAGTACTCTGCGCTACCAAAAAACACACAGTTAGCATAAAGTCTTACCTCCAGCACATTTCCACTACATTAAACAAACACAATCACAGGCAGCATAGTCAACACCGATACACTCACGGCATCGGCAGCATTTCACATCTATAAATAATACACAAACCCATGCATATGCACGTTAGCCACACTCACTGTGGTACTGTGATCACAGATTTACACCATGAATGGTCGTCGGTTACCCCCGCCTCACGGATACCACGTGGGCAGTTACGGATCGCTTAGCAAAGGTAGTCAAAGGTCTAGTCAGGAAGAGAGTATGTGGCCCGTGGTGCACCCGTTCCACAGTCGGTGTCACCACCACTCCCTCTTCCCCAAGGTATTTCTACCGTCCTCATCTTCCACACCTCCAGTGTATTGCTGAACCATTCATAGCACATTACAATGACGTTACACGCCCCATTCACATACTTTTCATTCATGTATGCAATATTCATGCTTGCACATGACACACAGCCTATATTCAATTCACAGTACTGGCATATAGCCCACATTTTATCCATAATATACTGCACATAGCCTTCATTCATTCATAATAACATTAATTTACCAATCAATAGCATTCTATCACACACAATTACCCCTACGGAGCCTAACTATTACAGCATACATCACATTGCACACCAATTTCCATCAAACACACAATTTCTACTCTCTATCTCAGCCACATTGCATTAATTAACAAAACACACAAGAATTACAATACATTTGAGATAGGTAAAGTCCTCCCTTACCTCGGATTAAAGACTCACACTCGGATTTGACTACGGACGTGCTCCCTACACAGATTGTGGCCTAAACACATGGAAGAATTCCATGAGAACTCCAAGAAACTGAGAAACAGAGAAAAAGGGATGAGAAACGGAACCCTAACCATTAAAACTCACCTCCAAGCATTCTTCACACGGATTCAACCTTCAATCAAACTCCTGAACGGCTTTGGAGGCAATTTAATTGGTGGAAAAGGGTTTTGGGTCGAGGGATTCGAAGGGATTTTTGAGAAACACACCCTCACGTTGCAGCAAAAATATCAGACGAAACTGCAACAAAACTGCATCTTGGTTTTTGCAGAATCTCGCTACAACGAGACCCTCTCACTACAACGAGACTGCACCCAAAAATGCACCCCAAACTG